TAATTAAGTAGAATCTTGAGCATGTATTATGTTACTACTTCTATCTATCTATTATCAGACTCCGTGGATGCTTTCCATCGAAAAATATATTCACTTTAAGATACTTTGGAATCATGAAGAAAAGAGTGGTTACTTTCGAGCACATTATTTAGCGGCTCTAAATTATTCTGTTGTATGTTGTATAAGCTGTGTCATATTAATTATGAATTGAACCCATGCTCTTGTGACAGAAAATATCGTTCCCATTTTACAGAAGTGATGTAATAGGGATTAAAATATAGATTGTAAGGAGATGAAGACTGATTTTCAGAAACGTGTGAACAGGATGTATCGTGATAAACTATATTGACTCAATACTAGGGATATCTTGAAACTTTATTGACTTTAATACGTTTCAATCTGAACAATTGCAAACAATAAAATAAAATGTCAGTGTATGTAAATGTATCTAATGTGTATTTGAACCAAAACTTAAAATAAAGGCGACAATGTTGACATTTAATTAAAATTGTGTATTTAGGACTTTGGATTATTTTTGCACTTGTAAAGACCATAACGGTATCGACGAAAAGACTGAATAAATGAATATGATTTATTATGTAATTTGACAAAAAACAATCATATCAATATTAGTTCTTTCAGTTCGATCTATTCTTATCTATTGTGATACTTATGAAGGAAAAATCCACAACTATGACGTTGGCATTACATTCCATGAGAAGTAATATCAAGGCATACAGTAACGATGAGAGGGGTGAAACCTTGTTGCTCTTTGTGGATAGAGACAAGTGCCAAAGGGCCATTTAATTGAAAACGTCCTATATTTATAGACATTACAAGAGTTGAAATATAAAGCATAGGAACATTAGAATAATTTAGATATTGATGAGGGATTACTCGAGATAAATATGATACAGGGGATAATATTTATAAAGTTTTAGGATTGTAAGTATCTCAATCGTATCCTGTTCTCAACTGAAATCAAAGAAACCTGGCGATTATTCTTTCGGCCAACCCCTGGGTCAGGACAGTACACAAATGAAAACGGTCGAGGTTGTCTAATCTTCATCATGGATCAAACAAATATAAATTTAATTGTTCTGATTTTAAGAAGGCTGTGTAAAATCATTTATAAAATAGCTTTGAAGGTAGACAGTGCTCATTACATTTTTTCAATGTTTAGAAACTAAATTTTGCTTACCAAAGGCTCAAGGAAGAAGAAGACAATGTCCTTTTTTTAACTGGTATACAGTTGTCCATCAGTTTGTTTTGTGGTTTTCGTTGGCTTTTTAACATTTGTTTTACTTCTGAAGTGTGCACATACGAAAGCATCATATTGTATATGAAATAAATGACAGCAATAGTGACTCGTTAATTTCAAGCTTCTTGTGTACGGTTGTTATTCATCAACTGCCACCCAGGATCATGGCTGAACATATCCCTTGCAGTTTTGTGATGGAGATTGTGAACGTATGAAGTGACATATTTTTTTAGATATCTTCACCTTCAAAATTCTTACTTATAAACTTTTATGTGTTGTCACTGTTGTGTGCTTGCAATTGCCAAGACAGCTAAGAGAAAAACAATTTACGAGGTGGAAATTTTATGGAATAGTTGAGCATTGATTGAATGAACATTAAGAATGAAATGACGCACTATCACCTGGCCCTACTGTTGAAAATGTTGGTTCACAAAGAAACGTTAAGATCATCTGATACCGTATGGACAGCATAAATGTAGCTTTGTTTTGCTGCCCATACTGGTAAGTTTTCCGATTTATTTCTTTTGACACCAATATATGCCAAACTGCATACATGCTGTTCCCAGTTTTATCCTTGAAATCGGGGCGAACCTGGACAAACGGGTTTCTGTTTTCCAGTCAGGAGAACTTGACTTAAATCTCTCTCAAATCAGGGAAACATCAGGAAATGTTACCCCCCCCCCAAAGAAAGTAGACAGCCTCTCATATTTTGTCCGTTATATTTGAGTGTGTAAAGCACCTCCTCGATTGATCCTTAATTTTTGGAAATTTATTCTAACAAATCAGGAATTTTTTTTTCTTCATAAAATGCTGGAAATCCTGTGGATAGCGATCGTGCTTTTAATCGCGTGGTATAGCAGGATCAAGAAAAATTACATCTAAACATGGCCATTGCAGTTTTATAGATCTATGGATTATTGATATTTGATTGATTTTGTTGATTGGTTAACTATGTAGTTGATTGACTTGTTAGTTGTTTAGTTGAATGAATTTGATTGGCTGTTGGTAAGAAGATTGTTAATTGATTGATTAATTCATCGAGTGATTAAAAAAATAAAATAAAGAATAATCGTACGAAATTACATTCATTAGTGGTGCAACTTTTAAGTGTTTCGGTGAGTGTGTCATGGTGGGTGAGGGTGTGTATGTATAGATGTAGAAGATCTGATCATATCTGAGGTAAAAACTCCAAGAACAAAACCAACAAGAAAAGTAAAATGGGCTTACACTAAGCTAGTTTGACAATGAAAGTGTCAGAGTGCCGTCATAATATTTTATTTATTTATTTATTTGACATATTTATACAGGATAAAAAAGAAACAATCGAATCAGCAAAGCTGTTTTTCATCGATGTCCTGTTAACATGATTAAACATTTCCGATTCTAACCAATGGGATTTTTTTTTCATTACATCAGTCAAAAAATACACAAAATGCCTTAAAATGCAAAAAAAACACAATATTAGAAATTTATTTGAAAGAAGTTAATGAATGACCAATCCTATTTGTTGAGTGAAAATTTTTAATAATATGGCTTGGTAATAAAGATCATTGAACTTCGAGGTTTTTTTTTTAAAGGAAGAACTAATGGGGTCACATAGCAGTGGTTCACGGCCCTACGTAATGTTCGTGACGGATTGAGTGTATATGTTATGATGTAATTTAAACATGACTGGTGGCTTTCCAAGTACTGCGTGTTTAGCTTACGTCATGGGATGATGGAGATGGGTTGAGAAAGACGAATGGGTAAACAATAGATTACTCCGGGTGCAAGATCAAGGTCGAAAGTTTGCGTTCGACATTTTGTTCGTGCGTGGTTTGAAAGTACGATCAATTCACCTTTTTAAAATTCAGTATTCATGATAACCCATGATAATTAGTGTTAAAAATTAATAATTGTCCGAAATAAGCCAACAATAGTCTTTCAATCCGTTAACTCGTTCAGTAAACAACTATTACGGTTAAAAGTGTACGGTGTCTATTATGTTTGTGAGATTTATGTTCTGATCACACGGAAACATAACTTTCTTTAATATAGTGGACATGAATATTATACTGACCCACTCCATTATTGTCAGTGCAGTAGACCTGACCGATATTTTTAAATAACTGAATTCTTGCAATCTTTGACAAGTGATAACAAAACCAAAGAACAAAATCTATTTAAAATAGTCGATCTTGAGTTATGGGAATGACTATGAAGTATTGAAAATATATCGACAATATTGCATTCCTTCAGACAACTACCCCCTTTCCCATGAAGTTCACTTTGTGACCCCTCCAATAAGGTCAAAAGTCGCATCACGTGCTTTACTCATCAAATCTACATAATTCCATTTCTGAGCAAGACATGGGACTACGTGCAAAATGTCAGGGTTAATATGATTTGAGAATAGTCTATTCACACACATGCTCAGACTCATACTTTATAAATACAACCCTATTGTACAGTGCATCTTTCATGTTAGTCCTTACAAGAAAGTGATTACAATGGCGCCAATTGAGCCCTGTTTAGCTGTGCTATTTCATTTGGAAATTATTCAGGATACATTTTGCTGCCTATATAATTTGTGATGGTATTTGCAATCACGATTTATGGGTTTTTTCTCAAGTTAAGTAGGCACAGATCATCGCAACCTGCACATTTACGAAGCAGCAGTATCCTTGGTCGGATAACTGTGGATATCGTGACTGGGTGAACATTCAACCAATCAGGATCGGCGTTTCATTTTCGTAAGAAAGAGAAAACAAAGGACCAACGGATCGACTTCTGGGTCAAGAGTCATAATCACGATCATGTTGGTGAAATAAAAACGGATGAAGTCGAGGCACACACAATGCAAAGTGATGATGCGGGGAGTTGGAGTCAATGTCAACGTCATTAAAGCCTTAGTCATGTTCGCTTTCAGAGCATCCAGGCACTGGAATAAATTGGAATGTACACCCTCACCTCCCCCCTTCGAATGGGGAAAAGGTCAGTGCACCTTTTAATGGTATTAAAGAAGTCTCGTTAATAAGTCACTGAACTGATGTTTTGACCCGTTTGCGATCATGTTTTCATTTATAGGTAGTTCTATGGATGAGAACTCAAAGATGCTACAATGTATTTATCTGATTCAAACAATTTATGTTCGCAACAATACCCGTATCTTTCACATTATTGTCAGCCTCTCTCTCTCTCTCTGCTTCCTTCTGTCTCTCATTCTTTTACCCCTCCTATTACAATGAAATAAGTAATGGAATATTCGTATTGCTTTTAACTTTTCTTCCCTCTCTCCACATCTCTTCTTCTACTTCTTCTCATTTCTCTATTTCTTTCTTTCTCTCTCAACTTCTGGTCATGAGAAATGGGTGGTTATATTTTGTAGTTTTATAGTGAATAGAGACAGAGTAAAGAGAAATTGGAGGGAGAAAGAGAGAGAACACAAGAGAGAGAGAGAGAGAGAGAGAGAGAGAGAGAGTAGGGTTTGTGTGTGTGTGTGTAAGAATGGAAGAGATGATGTGAGAAACAGAAGATGGGGATCGAATCTAAGAAGAAAGTAATATGAAATAGAAAGGAATAAGGGGTTATCCTTTAGCGGAAAATAGAAATGGAGAGAGAGAGAGAGAGAGAGAAAGATGGGGGGAGGGGGTAGTGAAGGATTGTGTTGGTAAATGAAGAAACCAAAATGGAATGAATATGGATGAGGAAGGAGAAAAGAGAAGAAATGGTGATAGAAATCAATCGAAAAAGTCATTCGGACGTGAGAGGGCAGTAGGCCTATAAGCCTATCTTTAATCTGATTGAGGTATAATGTTTATTTTGGAAGTAAATTTCATTTTGGTTATTTCTATTAAATGTACATCCACAAAATAAAGCTACCAAAATACGACTCTAATGTTTAAGGATTAACACTATACAGTGAAACACTCCGTACGTACACATAGGAAAATAATGTGATAATCTGTTAGATATGTATGGAATATTTTACATATATCTTTTTGATACGCAATATTAAATAAAATAAATATCAAATAAATTGTAATATATTGAATTTCAAATCTTGTAATTTATGACTCACAATGGTTCACGTAAAATTAGTTCACGCATTTTTGCATGTACATGTATAATCTCATGAGTGTCCCAACAATGAGAGATGACGTAAAGTCAATGAATCTATAGCAAAATATAAAATTGATTTCTATTCCACTGAGTTTTCATTATTGCCATCTATTGTAGTGCTTACTCCTAAATACATATATAATTCCTTTTACCCTGACACTATCTAACAACACAACAACAACATAACAACGTTTTCTATCAAATACATTGTGTAAATACGATACTTGGCACAGAAATCAACAATAATATGATAATAAATACAGTATTTGTTATGAGCCATCGATCTAAAACTATTCTGAGGCGCAGAGGGATAGAATTAGAACGAGTAACATAGAGAAATGAGAACAAAATATGCATATAAATGTACATTCAACATATAATTAACAACTGGGCAGCAGCTAAGAAATGAAGAAAACAAACAGCCCATGTCGTAACTATTATATTAATAGATATGAGTTCCTCCACCCAAATTTGCCTATTAATTCAAGAGAAGGGTTTAAACAGCCATTGGATCTCTGGAAGAAATCTGAAAAACGGAGCCATGCAGGGTTCATTTCAATTCTAAACTGAGTTCTGTCCGCGAGACCGAAAAGTACATGAGAGAAGTATGATTGTGATAACTCCCGACAGACCTAGCACGTGTCTACAGTTTGTGGAGCCATATGACTCGGGTCATCACTATCTCCTTTTTGAGGTAAGTCATTTTGTCTTCATTGCCTTTTCGTTTTGCTTCTGATCTTTTTTGTTATTTTTCTTAGCTATCTTGATGTCATCTTTTAGTCTCTCGTACTCGTCCCAGTCTTCCCTTGCGATAGCAGAGTCGCGATCACGAATCAAGTCATACACACGTCGATCGATGTCGCTATTGACCTTGGTAGAAAATTGCCGAAAGGCAGCATCCTGCGTCGGAAACCGGGTTGCCTTACGAAGACCCTTCTTCCTATCACGTCCCCAAGCGCAGTACACCATAAAGTGGTCACTCATACCGATGTGAACCACCCCGGACGCTATGACACTGGCTGTGTCATCAGTATACACCAAGTCAATCAAGCTTTCGGTTTTCTTATACGTATCCCGACCTCTTTCTTTCCGCAAATCAACCCGTGTAAAACCTTTTATCAACTGTGTCAAGTGATGGCTACTTTCAAGTTCATCGAGCGTTTGGACTTTCTCTCCCATCACCGACCCCATGACTTTACATTCCGCAAGAGTTTTTCGATCGCAGTTGAAATCGCCAAGTATCACATAGCTCGTTTTACAACTGCAAGAATGCTTCTTGTCACAAATTCCTCTGGAAGATGTTGGCTTGCAACATTTATCTGCTCCTCTCAGAATATCCATACTTCTTTGCAGCTTTTTCAACAGGACAATCTGTCCCCTTGTTCCTGGCGGCACATACACATTGACAATTCTAAGAAGAGCCTTCTTCACACATGCACCGGAATTGGCCTGATCCGTCAGCCTTTTGCTAGGTCCATCGTCATCAAGCTCAACGTCAACGCAGACTGCTTCTAAGCCTTCCTCAAGGTCGACAGAACACTTTCTTGCAGATCTCGCTAAACTGACTTTGACATATGTCAAAACACCACCGCGGGGCCTACCGCTGTCTTTGGACACACCATCTTTTCGTGCCAAAATGGTGTAACCGGGGACACTGAAGCTGCCGTTCGAGTCGTTTGGTCTCATAAAAGTCTCGCTCAGTGTCATCACATCGATGTCTGTCCGACAAAGCAGAAGGAGTTTCAGCTCGTCTTTCTTGTTACAAAGAGACTGGCAATTCAGATGAGCAATCTTGATCCCTCCTGACTGCGCCAAGATGTCCAACTCATACTGGACCTGGTTAAGCGGAGCGTTATGTGACGTTGGTTCGGATTTTATTCGTATTTGGCTCTGTGGCTTCTTCGGGGACTTGATCTCCAGCTTGACATGAGGCGTGCTTTTCGATTGTTTTGGCACCGTTTTTAGTGACGCATTTCTTGCCTACAAAAAAGAAAGAAAGAATGAACAAATCAATTTTGATAGATAAGTAGAACGATTGAAATATTAAAACATTTAACTTGTAACAAATTCGTCAGGAAAACAGAAGAGACACAAACCTTTAAAAATACTTAAATGCAAAAGGACATCATAGCCTACAGCGATTCATACGAGACATCTATCTTCTTCTCTGATTTTTAGGAAGTGATTATACGGACACTGTAGAAATAGGGAACACCTCGATCATGGACTATATGCTACTGCATTCATTGATAAATCGTTTGCTGATGGCCATAAGGTTTAAACTTTAAGTAATTTTAGTTCTCAGCTGACGAAATGACCTCGTCGGCTGCCCACAAGAGCGCCGTAAAAGGTAGATAATCAAGGGCAGTAACGATCTTCTTGCGGGAGGCTAACGAGGCTTACCTTTTGAAGAATTACCAAGATTCCGCTGCCATGGCTTTTCTCTAGATCAGCGACAGTATCACCCTTGACAAGGACATGGACGTTGATCTTCTTGGAATTCGGGGTGATTTGGGCGAATTCGATCCCAGTCTTAGCGAGTTCAGCCTCGTGACGAGGAAACTGGCCTCTTACCTCGTCCACAAGTTGGTCTATGGTCCAAGATCGATCTAAGCCGCCTTCAACATTGCAGCTTCCTGAGAAAATATGGAAAATCAAATGGGTGAAATAGCTGGGCGCATGGGATTGAAGCAAGGTAATCGGGAAAATATAATATACTATAAGCAAACTGGTGAAACATAAAATATGTTTGAAAGTTAGTTTTGACTTGGAAATGTTAAGTAGTAACCCGATCATGATTACGACAGAGGCAGTAATGTAACTGAAAATCAATGTTAATTTCATATATATACGATGATACTGTTTTATTATGTTTTTTGATAAAGACCCAAACGTTGCTGAAAGAATTCTAAATGTTAAACTAAAGAAGGTAAAATGGTGGATGAGAATACAAAGATTAAAACTGATTTGAGAAAATAACAACAAACGTTTGTATTTTATTTGTTAACGTTTATAATGAACTAAAATAAAACAATAAAACGATTATGTGTTCATAGCTTACTCCAGTTCAAATAAGATACGTATATACCAATAGTCATATAGAGGTATAGTTAAATTTATCCCAACCGCTTTGGAATGAGCATTGTTACTGCTCCAATGGTAAATGACTGGGTCACGATCAATATTGTTATCTTGCCAGTTGGGTGAAGGTCTGCTGAATCTATTTCATGTCAAAATGCATTTTGACAGATCAGTATTACAACCATGAGCAATCTTTAGCAAATATTTCAATTGAAATAGCTTGTATAATAAGGACCAGATTATACAGGTAAGTATCATCATGATGATGATCTGTGCCTCAGCTAGTGGTGTATCCAGATATTGATACAACAATGGTGAGACAAGAAACTTTATACTGTCTTTATTAGCCATTATCACGAGGAACCCTCTATACTTCAAATAATTGTATTGATGTTTGCATGTCTTTAGTATACATCAGCTCCACTCTATAGTGTACACATCCCAACTTTATTATATCTTGATCATTTAGAAAACAAATCAGATAGAAAATACTGAGAATATTGTGGAACCAGACATCAGGCAAAATGGCAGTGTTTCTTTCGATTAACAAAAATAAATGAATAAATAAAAATAAAATATTTATTTGTATTTTATATATATATATATTTATTATTTGTAATGAGCGTAATTATGTATTAAAATAGGCAAAATCATGATGGGCGATTTTATTGGGAGACTTTAATATTTTCTAAATGAATCTTACTGTATGAAGTATGAAAATAATCTATTCTCTCCGCTTTGATTATGCGGATATATTTCGGCAATCTGCATCTAAGAAATATTTGTATTTATTACAGAAAGTTCAGAACCGGGCGGGAGGGTTTTTTCAGAACGAAACTATATTATCATACTTGAACTTGATGTATACATGACATTTTATAATGAAGGAAATTAAATCCGTTAAAAGGAGCATATCAAAATTTGGTTTATTTTGTTTTTATTCATTATTTTGGTTTTTACAATTATTTCACCAGTGTAGACCATTCAACAAAAGTTGGTCTCCCATTGGGCACTGAAAGTACGTCACAACTATAAGATAAAGTCAAATCAAAGTAGTTTAAATACAGCAAATAAAATATCACATATCATAAACGAATTCAGTAAAATTGTACAAGATTAAAAAAGATATAATCCATATCTATAATGATGGAGGAAAGGATGAGCAAACGAAAAATGATATATGTCACTTGCTGAGAGACGAAAAGGAGAGAAATGAAGTAAGTAAGAAAGAAAGAAGATTAAAATTGTAATAGGCAGAGAGAGAAAGAGAAAGACCGTCGAGGCGTTTAGGGAGAAAAGGACCAATAACAAAGGAGAAAAGAGAGATAAAAACTAGGGAATAGGAGAAACAACAACAGAGTATTTATGATGTTTAAAGATAAAGTTGAGTTCTGGTCATGCGAGTGCATTGTGAAAGAAACGGTGTGGAATCGATTAGAAAAAACTTGATCATGTATCATATAAGTATCTATGTACTGCAATGTTCTGGAGTCATCAAAATGATAAGAAATTTGGCCAAGTCTTGGTAAAGTAGCAATCCTTATACACAGAAAGATGTATATGGGGCTACACAAACACGTGGCATAAAAACTGGCCTTATTTTTAGGCTGCTATTTGTGATATTTAGAATATGGAGGCATTTGAAGAGCCATGCTTTTCAGGGAACATTAATTTTTTTTCAAATTATCTTTCACCTCTCCCCAGGACTCAACCTTCTCTTAAAATCGTAGTTAACCTTGAACTAGATTATATGAAACTATCAGACCGAGAAGAATCAGTTGTAAAGGATTTTTTTTTCTTCAATAGACCCTCAATATTGCATGCTATTTCCATAATCCAGTCATTTAAATCAGTGTTATAGCTCACCTCGATAACTTCCTAATCTTTTGTTACAATTGTAACCATGCTTTGTCAGGTTTTAACAAATAGTTTTAATGCCTGTCCTTATTTGATTACTTTTTGATTGTTTTAAAATTTGATTTTCGTTTTAATACAATTGCTAAAGATGTGTTTATTTTATTTTTCGTGTGTGACCTCTTTAAGGAACAATTGCATTATGTAAATACAAATAAAATGCGATATCCGCCATGATCTAGATATATCTATGATTTACAATTTATGTTAGCTTTTTTCAATCATTATGCTTTGCAGGAGTTTACAGAAATTAGTTCATTCTTGCTGATAATCACATACAATGAAAAGTTTTGCTAACAGAAATTGATGTGGCTACACGCATTTCTGGCGTGTAAACTTGTCCCAAAGGTTTAAGCTAAATATAACAATCAGATCATATTTCGAATATGAGAGCATTTTCTTGGGGGACATAACGATATAAACATGATAAATAGACAATTCGGACCATCTAAAGAGAAAGCTCACAATTTCCCTTTTCACATTACCAGAACTCGAATTTCTCTTTGAGTTCAAAAATAGCTCGCTGTTGGACTTTAGGCAGTGCGAGTCTATTGGTGGGGATTCCCCGAACCATTCTGCCACCATGCCACGTATACGCAAGACTATAGATACAGTACATGTACAAATAAATAAACTACTGTGTTCCCCCCCCCCCTCCCTCCCCCCCCCCCTCTCTCTCTCTCTCTCTCTCTCTACATATATAAATGTATGCTTTGATTTAAGCTAAGCAACCTTTGTTCTTTCTTTCCCTTTCGCATACACAATTACACACTCACATACTCACCACCCCCCCCCCCCCCCCCACATTGCTTATATACACACACCAGCCCATATGCTACATGTTGTACATACTCACCATATCCGCCGGTTTCTAATGCCTTCTGATGTCCTTTGTTGGGATATGAATCTCCATTTTTGAAGGTGTTGGGCAGTAGAAATATATCCTTTGGTTTCCAGTGTTTGTCCTTCACACGGGCCATATTGATGATTTAACTACACAGCTGTACAGAATGTATGTGATTTTAACTATTCCTTTGATATTTTCTGGATCCGCATGAAAGGCATATAAACATGTAGTTAATATGCTTTTAATGATATGTCACCAGAACTGAACGACGGCATGAAGAGATAAGATTTAAGAGATCTTTCCAGTAGAGAGATTCACGTTATCCACATTCGCCTGCACGTGTCTCTCGGCTTGGTGTCGGAAACTGCAGTACATTGTATTTATTCGTATTTTCCTTTTGCCCTCGTTCTATATTTAGCACAGAGGCTTATTTGCTTTCCGGCCGGGTTTATTGTTCAGTTTACCCCGGGGCGAGCTGAGACATGAAAATACATGAATAGATATAAATATAACATGCCTATATATGGCTCATTTTTTATGTCTCAACTCATATACAAGTCATATATATTATATAAAGGGAGTCTTGTCAGTGTTGATGGAAATTCGAGAAGAAAGCGGTAATTAATGAAAACAACCGTGAGAAAAAGATGATTATGCGTTTTTACTTTTACAAAACCAGCGTCAATTCTTCAAAACGATATGTTAATATGTTCTATGCTGTTAATATGATACTGTTATCGGATGCACCGCCCCTTGTGGGATTATCGAGTAGGATATAGAAGCCGTTTGTGGATTAGGTAGCCCGGTTGCCCTTGAATAGAATACCCATGAAATGATTTGATACTGACGCCTATATTGAATAAGTTAATGTTAATTTCTATTACATTGTTTGGCAAAGATAATATAATTAATCATCAGAGTTACAGAGAAATTGAAAGGAACATGGGAATCAATTAATATATCAGATAAATCTTTAATATTTAATCTTACATGTTTTCACGACACTCCTACAATCCAACTCGTACCTTAAGATCTGGAAGTGATAATTTGCTGCAAATTCCCCGTACCAGTCATTCATGGGGAGACCATGCTTTTTCGCATGCAGCAGCCAAATTATGGAATAAGCTTCCCTCATCACTTCGCTGTATTGCAACATACTCTGCCTTTAAAACTCGTCTTAAGACTTACCTATTCCATTTGTAACCCAGTATTTCCTTAAGTTGTATAAGTTTATTTTACTAAATCCATAATTGATATGTTATTTGTATATACATTTGAAATTAATTAGTTATCACCCTTTAGTCTCATTGGCTGCCTGTGTGGGGCCTGTTGGCCTCAGATGCTAGAGCTTCTGTGAATAATGTGCTGACTGGGCTAGTCCCTTAAATTGTCAGTGAACGGAGCAGCTGGAGGGCACCGGGCCCCACCAGGCAGAGCTGAGGATTGAAATGGGTTATAACAAAATATCACAAAAAATATTGCAAAATTATTTACTTTACTTGTATCAAAGAGAACTGTTGCTGAGCTAGCGCCATGAGCGTCCCTGGACGGTGTGTGCGCTCTATAAGTTTACACTATTATTATTATTATTACACTATTATTATTATGTAATAGGCATTCAATACTTGATAACATAACTTTTTACTTTTTGCTGTCTGTACAAAAGAATTTAAAGTTTATACAGGTGTGTTGAGCTGGCTTTATATTTATGTAGACCAACAAAATTTTTTACAATATCTATTATATATCTGTATAGAATAAAATGTTTTGTTTCTGATAGAATATTACTTATGCTATATAATAGTCAAATTTTACCACACATCTCTTATTGTAATATTTTGTGGGCAACATCCAAGTGTGTGACTAATAATATTCTTCTGTTACAAAAGAAAGCTGTACGCATATGTACCCGAGCTGGTTATCGTGACCATGCTACCCCACTATTTGTTAAACTGAAACGCTTAAAGATTGATGATATTATCTTCCTCCAAATTGCCATATTTATGTTCCGTTTTAATATCAAATTATTACCTACGTCATTATCGTCAATGTTCCAACCTAATAACATGGTTCATTTGTATTCAACAAGGCAGTCATCGAATTTGCATGTGGTCAATCCTCACACTACATTAGCCCAGAAATCAATCAGACACAGAGGTCCAGACAGGCGCGTACACAGGGGGGGGGGGGGGGGGGGGGGGGTTTGGGGGTTAATCCCCCCTTTGGTATTTTTTTTTGTGTGTAAACCCCCCCTAAATTTCCCTAAACCCCCCCCCCCCCCTTTTGGTTTTTTTTTTTTTTTTTTTTTTTTATTAAAAAAAAATTCCCATGACTGACCTCAAAAAGATGACCTTACCCCCCCCCCCAGCGGAACAAATGTCAAATTTTCAAATTTCGATACCAAAAAAAAAAAAAAAAAGTGACCTCATACCCCCCCCCCCTCCCGCTTATTCAACGGTCGGCTGAGTCGTTGCGATTTTTTGGGACCAAAAAACAAAAAAAAAGTGACCTCTAACCCCCCCCCCCCCGCTTTTTCAGCGGCTTGCTGAGTCGTTGCGATTTTTTTGGGACCAAAAAAAAAAAAAAAAGTGACCTCTAACCCCCCCCCCCCCCGCTTATTCAGCGGCTTGCTGAGTCGTTGCGAAATTTTCGGCCCGATTTATAAATGTTAAACCCCCCCCCCCCCCTTGAAAAAATCCTGCGTACGCGCCTGGGTCCAGATGTATGGTATTCTTTACCTAATGATATTCGAAATATAAAATCAGCAAACTCTTTTAAAAGAGCACTCAAATGTATTATCATTTCACAGATGTAAGATATTACTTACATTATAATCTATTTATCAGTTCTAATTAAATCTAACATAATTTTGTTACTAGGCCTAACGAAATTCTTTTTTTTTTCTTTCTTTTTTTTAAAAACTTTGTAAATAGTGTAAATAGTTCACTACAAAACTTTAGGAATTTTATTTGTCATATATTATATATTTGAAAGGTATTGTAACGATTCAAGCTCTATTTGCTTATGTTTCATCACCTTTGTGTGTTCATTCTCCAAACTGTATATAAGTTGCAACTTGTCTTTGATAAAACAATGTTATATTCTTTTTCACGTGAAGTTAATTCAAATGTATTGTAAAATTGAAAATGATTTGTCATCTTATATTAATTTTTCATGTGATGTTAGCTTCAATGAATTGTGAAATTGTGAACATGCATAAATAAATAAATAAATGAATAAATAAATAAATAATATTATTATTCAATTTAACAAGCCTCTCTTTATATTCAACATAAAGGAGGACTCAGTAACATCCAGAGTATTGACAAATATTTTTGTTTTTATTGCAGTAGAGTATAATAGCAGCGTTATAGATATGATCTAATTATTATTGATAGTTGATCTTATTTCATATCTTTTATTTCCTTTAACACAAACTGCACCGAGAACACTTAAAAACTTTATACATCGTTAATTGCACATAATGCAGACGGAACAAAATCCATTTAAATTTACACCAAACAAATCAATCATTTACATGGCGATTTAATCGAACTTTATCAAGGGAAACAAATGTATACTGAAATATTAAGAAGATAAAAACATATCGATTATAATGAGTATATAAAATACAAAAAATCCAGAAGATGAATCAATAAACATGGTATTTTTTTGTATAGATAAAACTTGTACTGAACCGTACGATTTGAAAAGAAAAGCAATTCTACAAGATAAAATAAATGAATGTAAAAAATAGTACTTATAGGACCATGAGCTTAAATAAATACTCAAGAGTTATCAAGCAGGTGTAAATAAAAAAAACTGTTAATTTTCAACCAATTTCTTCTAAAGTGGAAACTAATCATCCTAATAGCAGCCACATTTAATTTAACGTAATGTAATTATTATTACCCCGATCATTAAGTTCAATTAGTTTTTCGTGGATAATGGACACACCACTCTCCTGGGTAGCATTCCAGTCAGGCGCCATTATAACGAGCGTATATACGTTTCGTTGACGATCAGCCATGCACAAAGAAGACGAAAGACTTGATGCATGGCTGATCGTCAACCCTGTGTCAACCCTGTGTTTCCACGGCAGGCGGCCAGTGAAAACGTATTCCTTTAATCAAATTAGGGAAATGCAGGCATTACTTTTAAAAAACATAACTTTGTTATTCCTGGCTCATTTTTCCTGATTGAGGTGTCATATGAAAAGGCTAAAAATGAACTTTCTAGAAATGTGATTTTCTCTTTGAAATTCAGATACCGCCCATAAAAAAATGAATTTTTGGTTTTCTCTCTTCAAATTGTGTTTAATCACTCATGCATGAAATATGTATCATAGCATCATATGAATTGCATCAAATGAAAGAGGATCGCAGCTTTACAAATATGTGTCATTTATTAATTACAATTGTGATTAATTTATGATAAAACATCAATAATTCTCGGTTTCGTTTTTTCTAGGACGCACTGTATATAATGATTCTACTCTCCTTCAAAGATGTTTACAGTCTTCCAGTTATTCAGATTAAATAACAGACCACCTAATTCGTTTCAATGACGAATTAAATGTCTCGTAATTATTATAATTATGTTGAGGATAACATTCACCAACTTCTTTCGTTTTGTTTTTCCAATCCACCATTGTGCCAACTCTCAAGTACGCGTCCTTTCAACACCTTAAGCCCCTTTCAAAACCGGATCTGCGTAGAGCTGCATAGTGTGGCGTACCGACTACGCCAAAATTAGGCTGCGTAATCATGAACAAAAATGTTGCTACGGCGTAGTCCCTGCGTAGGTTATGCGTAGGTAATGCGTAGGCTGGCGTACGATGGCGTATGGTTACGTATCCTGTGCATCAGGGGCGTACGCAGGGGGGGTTCAACCCCCTTTGGTATTTTTATGTGTGTAAACCCCCCCAAAAAAACTAAAAACCCCCCCCCCCCCTTTTTTTTGTTTTTTTTGAAAAAAAAAAAAAAAAAAAAAAAAAAATTATGCCCACGGCTAACGTAAAGTGACCTTACCCCCCCCCCCCCAACGAAAAAAAATGTCAAATTTTCAAATTTCGAGACCAATAAAAAAAAAAGTGTCCGCTTACCCCCCCCCCCCCCCCCCCCCCCCCCCCCCCCACTGAGCGACTTTTCGGTTGGCTGAGTCTTTGCGATTTTTTTTTGGACTACCAAAAAAAAAAAGTGTCCGCTTACCCCCCCCCCCCCCCCCCCGCCCCCGGAGCGACTTTTCGGCCGGCGCGATTTTCAAATTTTCGAGAGCAAAATATTTTGGGCCAGATTTTAAACCCCCCCCCCCCCCCTTGAAAAAATCCTGCGTACGCCCCTGCTGT